ATTTCAACAATCGCGCTAAAACAAATGCTATAACAACGAACGTGCTCAATAATACTCTCTGACTGCAGATCAATTACTCACTGTCTACACACACATTATTCCCCGTCACGTTGTCACCCTCTTTTATATACCAGACTACCCTATATCTAGTAAATGCTAGAGCATTCGCCAAAGTACAGGATAGTTCTAGAAACGTGGCGTGACACTAGTCATGTGACCTCGCTGACGCAACAATACTGTAACTCCTAACTGTCTTGCTTTACCTGTTGAGGAAAAAGACATATGAGCCTAAAACTAGCTGTTGAGGCATAAGCTTCACTCAATGGTAGCGTGACATTTCCTGAAAGAAAACTTAAGTCTCTTATGACGTCACCTTCAGTACCTTCAAGGTTCTTCTAGTGTAACATATTAGGTCGGCAAAACCAGTAAAAATTGTGAATGTTTTTTGTTTTTTAACAAATTAAAATGGAAATAGAAACAATTGATCAGTAATACGGGCTTTCACCGCTCGTAGGGGTCCATCAACCTAAATATACTAAATGTTTACTATTCTTCGGTTTAAGACACCGTGTCATGTAGTTTTTGACTGGAAATAAACACAAGATGGTGCTCTTATCAGCCATTTTGAAAATTACCCTTTTAGTAATATGTTGCATTATTACAAAAAATAAAACTTCAGAGGATATTACTGGTTGTTTCAATTATCATCTTTCGGTTTTACGCCTACAAGGCTACTGGTGAAGGCATAATATGGAAACATTGAGCAAGTAAAACAATTTGTAAGATTCTCTGGATTTTACGTTTGTTTTACTTATTTGTAATTATATGTCCAGCCAGCTTTACGTTAACCACAAAAACAAAAGTAAAAAAGATAAAATGCATCATTTTTTAGGATATATTTCTTTAATACGCTTGTTTCAGCTTGAAGAAAATGTTAACAAGTCCAGGTATTTTCAAAATGAGACAGCTTTATTACTTTTGAGTTTGATATATTTGTTGTTGTTGTTGGAGAATCGACGATTGTCCAAAAAATTAGTTTGATGCGCAATATTAATTATATTGTAGAAAAAAGAACCTTTATAAAATAGTTTTTAGCTGTTATAAAATTCGCTGGATATTTTTTCTTCGATTCTTCTTGTTATATAAAATAGATAGATATTTTATGTCAGTTTATGTTCTATCCCCGTCAACTGTTTTACAGTATAAAAATTCACATCTGTAGCTATAGTTATTTTCGTCTAATTCACGTTGTACAGTGTTATTTTTTGTCATTAAATGATTATTTTTTAAAAATCAAATCCCTCCTACACTGAGACGGCACATAAAAACCGGTGCTGAATTCCGACTTAATGGGCACAAGGGGATGAGAATGTTTACACCCCCCACCCCGCCGGAGAGGAGATGTCAGTCCGTCGTAGGTTAACTCTTAGCTATCATCTGGTACCCATCAAACAGCTGGATAAATAACCGCTTACGACTCCAAAGCGAGAAGCCACGCTAACCCCAAGAGCAATTCTTTAATAATCCTTAAAATTATGTAAGTACAATGAACATTTTTCTAGCATTCTCTTTTATTTCCCAAAATATCTAACATCTGTTCTTTTAACACATAAATATTCAAATTATGTAACGGAACCCATATCATAATGGGTTTAAGTGCTAAAGTTATGAGTAATGTCAGTTCTCATCAACCCAGTTACGTTAAAGGTAAGGATTGTCACCCAGCGATATCTTTTCTTAGTTCACCCTAGAAGCCTAGAAGTAAACCTGACTGATAATTTTAACTGGAAAGCTGAATACCTCGAACTCTGTCTATCTGAAAGAGTGTATATATATATATACACATTAAACCTTTTATCTTGTGTTGTTGTTTCTTCAGATAGCTATTTTAATCTTCCTCTTTATTGAAAATAATAATAACGGTTGTCGACAGCAATGATATTAGAAAGGCCATGTAGTAAATACCCTCCGTTAGTAAGGTGATCGTTTCAGTGACGGATAAAGTTATTAACGCCTGTGTACAATCCACCTTCTCTCCCTTCGACAACAGTTTATCTGATCTACTTTTTCTAAAATATAAATCTGTCTTGATAAGCTTGCTTTAAGCCTAATAGTACCGTACGAAACAATGATGTTTGAGAAGGAACTTATTGCAAAACTGGATGTTTGATACGATTTGAAAACCAGTGAACCAGTCGATCGAGCATTCTTAACGTATCTATTGCTATGTACATTGTGTTTGTCGCTGTATACGTTGAATTCCTTAGGATATGTACTGATCATTCAGCGTAATCTAATTCAAATTTATATAGAGTGAAAACTTCTCTGATGAGGAATGACAGATGTGCCATATTTTTATTAAGAGTTTGAAATTTAGTGTTTGTGAAGAAAACAAAACATACAGAATGTTTAACAACGTTAATAGGCTTATTTTGCTTTGTTCTTATTGGGTGGTGCAAGTTAACAAATATAGAAAATCTAAACATTGTGTTCAGGGGAAAAAACATGTTTTACAACCTTAGTAGGCTTATACTGTATAATTCATTTTCGAGGGCACAAATTAACAACTATATAAAATCTAAACATTGTGTTCAAAGTGAAAAACAATTTTTTACAACCTTAGAAGGCTTATATTGTTTCGCTCATCTTCAAGGGCGCAAGTTAGCAGCTAGAAAATCTTAACATTGTGTTCAGAGGGAAAAAACATGTTTTACAGCCTTAATAGGCTTATACTGCTTTGATTATCGTGGAAGACGCAAGATAGTAGCCGTGAAAAATCTAAATATTGTGTTTATAGTGAAAAACACAGTGTTTTACAACCTTACGAAATTTAAACATGTTGTATTAAGAGTGGAACATTAAAAAACTTACTTATCTGAGAGTGAGAAATACAATCTTAAAACTGTAGAAAACTTGAATGGCTCTCATTTATACGGCTTCCTGTAATGGACGTAAAACAGTGTTAAAAGCATGGCTCTCATTTATACGGCTTCCTTGTAATGGACGTAAAACAGTGTGAAAAGCGTGGCTCTCATTTATACGGCTTCCCTGTAATGGACGTAAAACAGTGTGCAGAGCATGGTTCTTGATTATCACCTTGATGAAACTTTAGTTTTAACTACGTATGTTCTTATTTGTTTATTTTTATCACTTTTAGCTTATCCCATTAAAGTTTTCAAAGTAGACGTGTGTAAAATAATATTGACATTTGTTAAGTATAATGCGGCTTCTCTCTTTGCAAACTTAAATGTTGAATTCTTCATTGGGTTTGTTTACATATTTTTTTCTTTCAAAGCAACTATTTAACGCAAAAGCTTGAAATAAGGCCTACAGTATAACATCTAACTTCACCGGCTCACATCATTATACAGTAACAGGTGTGTTACTTAATTTTATTGTTCCGAAAAACGTTTTTAGATAAGCGCATATTTGTTTCATACAGCCTATGCTAATTCCGTTGTAGCAATGAAAGTGAGATTAGTTTAACAGAAATGTTCGAAAAGGTCAACAATATCTGTATGGGATTCATCTACTAATAATTCTGATTAGACAATTTCCTAATAAGAAAATGTTAACCTCTTACATGGAATATATATAGTATTCTTTAATTTTACATCAAAGCAAATAACATTACGGTATATACATTTAGACACTGGTAAATAAGAATTGCGGAAAAATACAGGACCAAATATTAGACGGTGTCAATTAAACACAAGTCACCAGTTCGTTGTTAAAGTAATAACATAATCGTCTCAAAAGCCGGCTCGTCCTGAAGTAAGTTGAAAAGTTATTCCCAATAGGGACCAGATTATTACTTTGAACGTAATTACAGATTTTGACCAACGGATTCAATAGTTT